GAAGCCAAGGCCTGCGCGTCCCGCGCAGCCACCCGCGCGCTGTGTCCCGGTGGGCCGCAATGCACTGGGCTGGTGTGTCCGTCCCTTCCCAGCGGCTGCACGTGCCCGCTGTCATCCTCCTGGGGTAGCGGAGGGGGTCCCTGCCCGTGGCAAAGGGGGTGGAACTGGGTGATCTTTGAGGTCCCTTCCAACCCAAACCATTCGGTGATTCCGTGATCCCGGGGCGAGCAGCACCCGGCGCCGGAGGGGGTCGGACGCGGGCAGCGGTTGTGCTGCCGGGCCTCGGGCACACTGGGAAACGTGCGGTGTGGGAAGGGCCCCGTTTCAGAGCCAAGGTTTGGGATTAGCTGTTCTACTGCTCATCGGTGGCAGAACGTGCAGAGCGTGGATCATCTGTTCTGCCTGATACAAACGGTTACAGGTGTGTAAATTCCAATCAGGTGAAGAGAGTATTTAATAAAAATGTAATCATGTATAACATTAGAAAGGCATGACTATAGTATTGAATGTGTAAGAACATTCAAAGCCATATCCTTCAAAGGAGAATTCTTTTCAGAAACTTACCTTACATGCATCCAAATAAAAAATCACTCCAGAAGTATGAGTATCTTAGGTTTTGTACAAATGATCAAACCTATATTCTTTATTGACCAAGGAACTGTGGAAAAAGGAATTTAGATAATGTGCTAAAACGCTAGTGGTTTTCACACAGTGTATGTAGTTTATGTTGCAAGCTCCCTGAAGTCAGTAGCTTTTTCTGTATCATCTCTGCACAGTATCCTTATCCACTCATCCAGATGGATCAGCCTGTGTCACTCACAAAAATCAGTAAAAAATCTGACAATTCATAATATAACCATTTTATACCCGACCATATTCTTGTTTAGAAAACAAACAACCTTCTCCCAAAAAAACCCAGGTAAATATTTCTGCTCCAGGAAGCACTCAAATGCCTGACAGAAAGAAGAGAATAGCCTGCTTTTTTTTTCTTTTTTCAGAGGTGCTGGCATACACATACATGTACACAGTCATTCTGAAGTGTTACTGCAAAAAAGACAAGACTGTGTTGCTTTATAAATTTAATCTCATACAAGCTATGTAAAAAAAAAGGAAGCAACTGACAACACCAAACGAACCCCTCACCAAAGCTTTCAGGCCACAGTTGATGAGCCTTCACTGACTAATTGATCCTCTCTATGAAGAAAGAAGTCTGGCTTGCTTTACTCCTGGTTACAACTCCTTACCTTAAAAAATATGATTAATTATGAGCATAAAACATGCCTAAGACCATCTCTATGTACGGTTCTGCGTTGGTAGGGAATAGTTTTGTAGTAACAAGTTTGACAAATTTCAAGTCCATAAATTGGAGTGATGCAGAAATTCATGATCTGGTACATGGATTAAAGTAAATACTAGTTTGAACATGAAGTTAAATGCCTCATAGTGCAATCCAGCACTGTGTTGCTTCAGTGACATATGAAATGGAGAACTACTTTTTTTTTTTAACATGTGCTTTATTATTTGGAAGTCTTATACATCTGAAGTACCATTATAAGGAGCACCTGTAGGAAAATCAAACCTAGAAGCATGCATTTGAAAGTAAGGATTGTCTGTTATTAATGAAATATTTCAAAAACGTTGAAAATAAGCCTCTCGTCTTAGCTTTACAGGATTGTTCCACAAAAATGCACATTAACCTTATCACAGGACATACAAATATTGTGGATGGACAATAGAAATCACCACCCTTCCATATGAGATGCATCAAGAACAAATTTTTATCCCTTATAATGTCAGAAACATAAAAGGCACCATAATAGAATGTTTAGAAAAAACTCAGTTTATGCCATTATATTTTGATTTAAAAGTGTAAGAATTGCTGTCCTGACTTAAAACAAAAAGCCTTTCACACCTGTAAATTATCAATAGAAACTTGTAAACCTTTACATTTTTTTCCAGAAGTATCAGGTGCAAATGCAAGGCAAATATAAAATCTATTGACTTATTAGATTACAAATACTACCCCATGAAAAAGCTGTAGTTACAAAAATATAAAAAAATATTCTAACTCCCATTGTTAGATCTTAGCTTCAATCTACACTGCATTACGAGTCCAAAGCCAGATCTGATTTGGACACATTCCTAGAATAGGAAAGTGCTGTTTGTTTTATTTTTACATCGTTATTCTGATCTCTTACTCTGGTTTTGCTTTCTGGATTTATTAGTGCATATGAAGGATGCCCAGTGGAGAGTGCTAACAGATAAAAGGTTGTATTTATCAATGGATGGTAGCAATGTAAGTGTTCTCAGTCTGCTGTCCTCCAAGATGTCCATTTCTCCAAGGAAAAAGTGTGATTTTTTTTCCAAGCCTCCATACTAACTTTGTATAGCAGCATGCCGTTTTCATTTATGAACTTGTGACCACTGGCAGGTGACTGAGAGGTACTAAATTCTTCTCACAGACTTCAGTAAGGAACTGTGAGAAGGACACCAACTGCTAATGCTGTGTCATACACTAGTAGCTGCTGTTCCAAGGACAATTACTGGCAACATTTCTTGTCTTCCACACATAATAGATTGGCACATGCTTTATCCATAGTAACCTGGATCAGCATAGGATGTTGAACCATCTACAAAGGCAGCCTCACAAAGTGCTAGTACACATTAAAATGAGTTTACTCCTAATAACTTAAAATTAATGACTAGATTAAACAAGATGTTATTAATGAATAAACTTTGTAAATGCTGAGACTAAGCCTGAGAAATGCTAATGCTTCCCTGGCTGAATACTGGAAGCTATGTTTCTTCAGTCCTTTATCAGTGCTAGCAGAAGGTGTTCAGCTTCCAACTCTGGAGAAACAGAAGCCTTCTTTCATTGTGCAGTGAAATTGGCAGAGATTAGTAGAGTAATACAGCTGTACTCCTAGATAGTGACCTGGTTTATCTGGGTTTTAATAAGCACTCAGGATCATTCAGCCAGTATGACCATGGAAGATGTAAGAGTGAGCTGTACTATCGTTATCTTTATGCATGGTGCAAGACATTTTCCTTTAAATACCTACTCCTTCATTAGAAACCACCCCGGCATTTCTCCTGGTAACAACATTGGTTGGTCCTTGCCAGTTCAAGCTGTGTTTTGGCCAGTTAATGGATCTCTCAGTCATGTGGTTCCAAACACATATTCTCCATAGTAAAGCGATTCTGAAATAGTGTTGTATTTTTACCCTACTTGAAAGCATTGATGGTACTCACATCTGCTTTGAAACAGTAACTTACTATGTTCCATGTATATACAAGATGTGAGTTAACAGGAGACTCATGGAGTTGTTACGAGAGGAAATGTTCAGTACTCTTATCTTACGCTGGATAACGTATGAATAAGAAGCTAATATTCCTCATTATGTTTCAGCTTCATAAAAATAGGGTTCAAGCAGACATAATGTTTGCTTCTCTGACCAAAACTGTATATTCCACTCAGATCATGCTGTGATGGCAGGATTTCTTTTTAACAGAAGTTCAAAGGTATCTGCACACATCTGCCAAAGATTATTTTTTTTTAAATAAGCATGTTGTACCTAGATGCTTAATCAGATTTGGAGAACACTTCATACAGAATAACAACAAAAAAAAAATTAAACTGAACCATATGTATAATGTAGGCTTTTGAATTTTTGTTTAGTGGAATTTTAAGATGGGAAGCATGTTTCTAGCTAAACAATCGCTCTTGGCTTTTCTGTTTTGTAAAAAAAAAACCACACAACAATAGTAATTTTAATGAGCAAATCCCTTCCCCAACCTATTGAGTCAAAAATTCACAAATGTAACTTCCAGTCAAGGCACAAAATCATTTACTGACTCTTCTCACTGCTTTCTTCACATTCTCTCCTTCCCCTTAAAAAAAGAGTTGGTGTACCAATGTCTTCTATACCAGACATTAAACTTAATAGTCCAGTAAGTTGTAGCAGTATCTGATATTGGTTATATATTTTGAATTTAGTTAAATTAGATGAACAGCACATTCTCAGCACATCTTTGTTCATTTTCTGCATTCGCCTTGAAGAGGAGGGGATGAGGGGAAAAAGCCACAGTAGTTTCATGCATATTTTTCAAGAAACTTTATGTGGAAGTCTTTCACTTTCTCCAGTAGGATCTTCAGCTTCTCTACTGGAGGAAGAATGGTCATTCTGAAAAATAGTATTTAAGGGAAGAAAAACAACAACCCACATTATCTTCAAAACAAACTAAACTGTGATCTTTGCACAGATCTTGATTTATCTCAGAGCACAGCTAGTAATGTGTTGTTTATTATCTTTTTTGATGTGATTCTCTTATTTTCTGCATTAATGCTTTAATTGAACTGTACTATTGAACTACAGCAATTTGTTTCAATTGCTTAATGTATAGGAATTTTTATTTTCTGTTGAGTGATGAAGAAGGTTATCAGTAAGAAAAAAAACGCAACTCAGTTTCTGGTTTTGGGGCAGTTATGCCAAATTACACCCAGTTTTTTGAGTTTGAGGGTGGGCAGTTATGAGTAAATGTACATTTCTTTTTGAATTGAAAACTTAATTCAGAAGCATTAAAACAATGCAACATACCACACTGCAATTTTTAGTCCCTTTTTTCCTTCTTCTGCATAATCTGAAAATCACGTTGAGTATGTATGCAAGACTGTATGCAAGACCTACAGAACAAAGTGTTTTTCCCACACTGGTACAGGAATGAACTCGCACTAGATTTTTCCTGGAGCTGCATGTACCAGGATATCTAACACAGATATCTGTGCTGCAGAACTATCATGGCTAAAGGTACCCTCTGTTATGTTGCTTCAGACCAATCAAGACTAAATTTCTTGATAAATTCGAGTGATCAGTGGCTTGGCTGCAGTAAAGTGCTGTTTACTGGAAGCAGAAGCAAAATCAATAGAGTTTATGTTTACAGTTTAGGTATTAGAAGATTTAGTCCAACATCTTGTTTTGGTAAAGTGAAGAGTTATTCAGCGTGTTAAGGAGCAGATTTATAGGGAAGATACTGTATCTTTCTTGCAGTTTCTCCATATAGAAACACTGTTTAATCCCCCCTCTCCCTAGAAGAAAGCAGGGCAATTTTTATAATGCCTTAGCCAACTTTAAGATTAGAGTATAAGCTATTATTATTGTTTGTATTCGTGGAGAAGGCATTTCAAATGTCAGTGTATAAAAATAGAATCAAACTATGTCAGCAAGCAGTGAAAACACCGTAAAAATCTGAATAGCTTATCTAGCAGACTCAGGTCTTCCACCTAGCTTTCAGTCCACAGAAAATGTCCAGTAGAAATTGGGACAACATAAACTGAAATAAAAATCCTTACATTTAATCAGAAGATCAAGTACTGAGATGGTACTTATTATAGGTTACTGTAGTTCATTTGATTTTAAAGAAACAGAAACTGTACCTGAAGTGGTAGGTTCCTTCTCTTTGGCCGAATCCACTTCCAGGTACAACACATATTCCGGTCTCTTCCAGAAGTTTCATGCAATAGAACATATCAGGTGCCATTTTATGAGCCTAAGGGAATGGATGCTTTGGAATTATTGCAGTAAAAAGATTCCAAATATGTAGAATTTCATGACTGCTTTTCTTCCTGAAACCTTACCTTACACTATTAGTTTCTATTTAATAAAGAAGATGAAGAACAATTGCTAATGGGACAGTTCACACTGTGAATTAAATAACAGTTTTTCAAGAAGGAACAAGTCTGAAGAACCTACACAAAACACTCACTTCAAAAGAAAGGATTTATATATTTTGTTTTTTCTCCTTGACTTTCTGTAACTTTTTGTCAAAAATCTCAAAATTGTACTTACAAAAATCTAAGCCACTGACATTTGACAAGATGAAATTAATTTGACAGCTGGGTGTTCCAGTTCTGTTAGCAGTTACTATTTTTTTCCTCTGAATTATCTGCTGACTGGAAAGTCCCCTGATTAATAACTATGGAAGTTCTTAAATACATGCAGGTCGTACACCTAATCAAATAATTAGCTGAAAACAGCCCTATTTTTGTCCTCAGCTATACTGATAAAATTCCCTTTAAATAAATGAATATTACACATTAGGTAACAGAGCTCTAGTTAGGAACAAAACGACTTGTCATTTAGCAATCTGTCTTACTGACCCAAACACACAACGGTATTATACAGAAGTAGAATTTGTAAAGAAACCTCCCTCGCTTTTTCCTGCGCTTGCTGAACGGGGCTGCTTTTGCAGGGTCAGTAGCACAGTGCCGTTCACGATCCCCGTCCCACCTGCTGGCCTACCTAACCCAGGCACGGGCAGCAATTTGGCATGTGCACAGGTCCAGCTACCGGCCCACCCTATGACTTTATTTAACACTGACGTCCTTGGGCAGCGTTCTCAACCTGGAAGCCTTACCACTGTGATGAAATGCTTTGTTTTGTTTTCCTCTCTTAAAATAAAAGTTATGTTATATTTAAGATCATGTAGTCAGTGAAGTACTGCCTTTTTACTACATGAGCTTACTCTATTTCTGGAATAAAAATTCATCATTAGAAGAGGCAGGCACAAGCGTGTGAAGGTTAAAATGAATTGGGGTAAAAGTGACTGACTGACCTTTGCTTCCTCAATGGCTTTGGAAGGAATAAAGATCCGTGGGAAAGCATACATAGCTCCTTGAAGTGGATTGCAGTGAATTCCTGGTACTTTGTTAAACATGTCTTCTGTTAGTTTGGCTTTTTTGGCAAGATTGTTCAAAACGGACTCCTTCTCCTGTTTAAAATGAAGGTGTTCAGTTTGACATATTTGAACTGGCAATAAAAATGCCAGAGAAAACTATGATGCTTCAAGAAGCCTTCCCTGAATTAAGCACTTGTAGGGCTTTGCTGAGCTATTGGAGCAAATGATGTTCCAAATTCCAGTCATACTCTTAAAGACAGCAATGCAAAAGGCATTAGCAGGATGCAACTGCAAAATGTTACAGATAAGACAGTAACCTGCACAAGTCTCTAGCTGCGTGCCCTCTTCTTACATTCTTCCTTCTAAGCATCCACTCTTGGTTACTTCTAGAGACCTTGTTGGCTGAACCTTTGATCTGACTCAATACTGTAATTTCTTAAGCCAGATTCAGTTTCATTTTTACAAGTGAGAAACTATATGTATATTTTAATACAGAATACCATGTTTAGTATATAGAGGCACTGGATACCTAAGAACAGGCTGATTTTATAACTGTATTTGAACTCACTTTCCTGTTTAGATTTTACTAAAAGCAAATCTTATATAGTAATTCTTTTGTCAGGCTAAACCCAGGAGAAAAGTTTAAGAAAGCATTTGATAATGCCTTCTTAGCTTTTTTTGGCTCCTAAACGAAGGAAACATAAAAAGAATAAAAAATATTTTAAAGGTACTCATATTGAGTTCATTTAAAATACCCTGCATAGGTCTGAAACTGGGTGTTATTACAGGATTGTCTGAGAAGAAAGAAGTCTGGTCTCTGTGCGTATTTTCAGTTCACAATACCTAGGATAGGTTTAGGAAATGCACAGAAGATCAAGCATGTTATTGCTGACCTTTATGAACTGTGAATAAGATTCTTCTCCAGGTATTGGAGGATTCACTACAATATCCATTGCTGCTTGTCCTGAGACTGGAGGACAAAGGCGAACAGAAAGCAGCTTAACAAGCTGTCCTTTAATTTCTGGGTGCAAGTTAATGACCTCCATGTAACCTCCTCTGTAGCCACATCTGTGATTAAAGTGAACAGAAAAGATTGGTTAACCTCCAGTGTATAAATACTGGAAAAGCAATGAAAATAACTGCAGAAGTGGAAAGACAATTAATGAAGATCTTAAAATATGCAACATACAGATTGTTGAAAGAGCTGCTATATTGATAACGTTTTAAGATGGAACTAAAATGCTATGTCATTAAACCCTAGCATCCCATACAGAGAAAATTGTGTACATGCAGCTTCCCTGTTAGGCAAGTTAATGATTAACTTGGATTGTTTGCTCTTCAGAACAAAAGCATATAGCTGTAGCAGTGTTCATTTAAGCAGAAAATTCTTTTTCTTCCATCTCTTCCGTCCCAAAACAACCAAACCCAAACATTTGTAATATCAAACATCTCAGTGATTCTTGAGCTGTTCCCTTGAATGTTGGAGACCGTATTTTCCTTTATCACAGATCCGGTCTAGGACTGCAGGATTTCACCTTTGTGGAACTGAGGCATTAGGTGTCTGAAATAAATACACTTATTATTCGGTACTTTGAAAACCAATGAGCTAATCTGTTACTCTGTGCTTTAAATGCTTGTTTTCCTTTTCTTAATAGTTTTTAGTTAAAATTAATAGAAGACAGTGGATTACCTTCAGGTCACTGACATGAAACGGCTGTCCCACCAGATTAATGAGGAAAACGAAATAAAAAAAGACTCAAGCAGACTTACTCGCCCATGTATCCCTTAGAGGTGGAGTGAAAAGAGGCCAGCTCAACATTGTTATAGTACTCGGGTCCCATCTCATACAGAATCTTTTTGAAAGAATGAAACTGGCATCCTTCAGAGTACACATTGTCCTGGTAAACCTGAACAGTCAGAAGACATTAATGTGCTCTGTTCCCCCAACTAAGAATAAAAGATGGCCTTCTAGAGAGCCAGATCTGAACTGAAGAAACAGTGGTAACACTCAAAACTTAAAGCCCTTAGAAGACACAAGGCTCTCTTTTAAGTAGTAGTTACTGTAATGATACATTTTATCTCCTGTGGCCATACTTAATCGTTTAGCCTTTGGAAGAACAGTGAGCTTCTTTGTATAATTTAACCTTTACTTGTATGTTTACATTGATTTTCCTTCTGTTTCTTTCATTTGAAGTGGTCTGAGTATCACATAGGTTTTTAGGTCAGCTCCAACCAAGTTCCTCCTTGTGTCTCCTTGCTTGTGTCCCCTACGCTTTCTCTCTAGTTCAAATCCAGATCAAGCCACCTCTCATATTAATCCTCTGAAAATAAGAATCTATCATGTTTCTTCATGTCTTAATATGATAACAGGGAATCTGTTCCCTGTACTTAAAAAATACTAATACCACACATGGAACAAAATTACACCTCATATGCGTACTCTTAGCTCTGCTTTTGAGAGAACAGAATATTCCGTTACCTCATCAGCCAGAAGAAAAAGTTTCTCTTCCCAAGCAAAGTGTATCACATCTTCAATGCACTTTCTGTTTTGCACCTGTCCTATAGTTTGATTTGTAAAGCAAGAAGAAAGTTAGTGGAGCATATATATACAAATCTTTTCGCCCAGACCTAGTTAGAAAAGATAACCCTCTTTCTTGGAAAAGTGCTATTGAACTTCAGAATTCAATTCACTAAGTGTGAAATTAAGGAACATTTTTGTAGGAATTACGGTTCACGGTAACTTGGTCCGACTCAAGAAAAGGAAACGTGAGATATAGTAATCAAACAATAACTTATTGAGAGTACTCTGTGTATAACTGATCATTGGAAATACTCACACGCATGATGGTTAAGTGGGAGCTCATTTCTCACTAATCAACCTCAACTACTCAAAGAACTAAATTCTTCTGAGGGAAGCAATGGTTGCCACTGAATTCAGAGTGTATCTGTAGTCATTGCCTCTCAGAGGCAAGAGGCTATAGGCCATGTCAGAGACAAGATCTTTGAGAAAGACCAAAAGTAACTGAAAGTCATTCCACAAGCCTGCAAAAGTTCACTGGAAGCAGTGGCTTCAAGTGAGATCCAGTGAATGAACCTGCTTTCTCCTCTCTTCCCAAATCCCTGGAGTTCCACGATACTGAAAATTGTTTCTAAAAGCATGACATACTTTCCTACTTAGAGCACTGATCTCTAGAATTCAGCTTTACATATTTGATATGGATTCAGGATTTGCCTGCAATGTCAAATGAATGAAAGAGGGAAAAAAAATTGGTCTTAAACCCCATCTATTAAACAAAAGCGCTATAGACCTGTGGGATTTCCAGGGTTGATGATGCAGAGGACTTTTGGATTGCAATATGCCTTAGCTTCATTCAAGGAACGGCGAAGTTCATTCACATCTAGAGCCCAGCAATTTTCTTCATCCAAATAGTAGTTCACCTGGATAGCATCTAGTTCAGATATGGCTGCAGAATATAAGGGATATTGTGGTATAGGGATCATCACTCCTGTTCGGGATTTTCCACCTCCTGAGACCAGGATCTTTAAAATTGTCTGGGGAAAAAGTGAGAGTTAAAAAAAAAAAGGTCACACATCAGAATAGTATACTCTAGAATAAGTTACTGATCTTCCTTCTTAAAAAATCTAGCATTAAGGTAGATTTCTATTCTGGAAGCATCCTGTCATTTTCTCTTACCAAAGGGCATTTATTTATTTCAAGTTAAGTTACTGGCTGAGTGAGGGTGGCCTAACTCAGCTTAATGGAATTCCTCTGCATGTCACGGCTTCTAAAGATCATGTCTGATCAACTGCAAAATTTAGGAAATACATTCGGAGCACAAGGCTAGAGGGAAAGCTGGAAACAGGAATATCAAGATCAGGATTTTTCTACTGTGCCCTGTTGTAAGCAAAGAAGCCTCAGCTAGTTGTTTCCTGTTGCCTTCCACTCATTTTATCTCACTGAACACAAGAGGCAAATAAATAAAACCAGGAATGAGAACTGAGGCCTGTGGAGGTTCTCCTTCGGAACAGGGAGACCTGGTTTAGATCAGAAGCAACTGTGGCCAGGTGGGAACAAAGCTAGAGACTTGCATTATGGTTTCATTTTCAAGTAATAGAAGAGAACAAAAGTCTGCTAGTCTTGAGATGGAAATTTAATGTATCGTATGTATTTTAGGCCCAGAAGATACAGAGAGAAATGTAATGCTTGTGCTCAGGTCAGGGGATTTGCCTGTGCACAACGGCTGTGTGTGTGTGTGTGTGTCTATGTGTACACTTCTTACATGTGAATTAAATAAAAGCATGCATTGGGTGCAGGAAGTGGAGAGATTTCTTGCCTTCATAATCAAGGGAGAACTCTGAAGTACAGGTGCAATCAATGCAGGCATTCTTACCAACGTGTAATTGATAGTGTGAAAACAAAAATATCTCTTCAGATGTAACAGCAGTATCCTTTAAGCTTCTCATTGGTTCTAGAACAAAATCTGCCTTTCTGTGCCTCTCATCACATATTAACTCAGCTGCTAAGATAATTTATAATCAGCATAATTTTGTACCCACCACTAGTTCAAAAATACCAAGCATCCAAAATGCATAATCAGGACCAAATGTAAATTTAAAAACTCTTTAACACCCTCTGTCCCCCAAGTTATGAAACAATAGTTGTTTTATTCTTGGAAGTGCCAAATAATGAGACTCATTGTACTGCTGACTTTTCATCACTGGTGAAATCAAATAAGCATGGTACAGATTTGATATGCTACGCTGCCATTCCTGATAAGCTGCCAGTATAATACTCGGCATCATAAACTCTGGAAAGCCAATTCACTAAAGACATCTGGAGAACTGTTCATGTCAGAACATTGTCTTCTGAACTCTGCCACTAGATGTCATTTAAAAAAACCCTTTTACAAACAAGCTATAAGGCTGCCTTAATAAAAGCAAAGAACTGCTGGTTTTGTAATGTGAGTAAATGTGCCTGTGTAAAGGAAAAATCTAATAGAGACAGTTATTCCTGTCTTAACTGCGGACCAACTTTGGCTCCATGTACCTGTTTCTTAGCTGGCATCTTACATCCACATAATTGGGTGTATTGGATATCCACTTACGTGACTTTGTTTTCTATTAGATCAAACTCACAGGAGTTTGTAAGACCAGATGTTAAACAGAGATCTGTGTTTCCAAAGGTAACTGATAAATTATACCAAGAAGAGACAGGTTGAATTTTAACACTTACAGCAATACCATCACTTGCCCCAGTAGTAAGATATATATTATCTGGATCTGCAGGAACCCCTCCGTCTCTTCTTTCAATATATGAAGCAACATCTTCACGGATGCAATTTATACCTTGACTGGCACTATAAGATCCTGAGAAAAATAGAGAATGAGAAGAGAATTGAGTACAATGAACATCAGATTTTCTGTTTGCTAGCAAAACTCCTGAGCTAATAATGTATGAATATGTATATATGAGGGCTGTGGATCTCCAGGATTGCGTTGGGTTATTTTTTCCAAGGAGTAAGAAAGGGAGCTGGTTTGTTCATAGAGCAAAAGAATTCATTTGGAATTAGACAAATACAATAAGTACCACTAAAATACAAAAATAATATACTGGATTGGTAAAAAGTAGGATTTAAAGACTACTTTGCAAACTGGGACAGCAATTGCATTTTTACTCCCAGTTGCTTGCTTTATGTTGAAAATCACTTCAGAATGTCAATCAACACCTATTTAAGTAATAGGAACAAGGAAGAGAGGTAGCATGTGCCATAAAAAGGAAAATAACTTCTTCAAATCCATGACAAAAATAAGATTTCTATTTGCAATATGAAAATAATATAATACCATTTTCTCCCACAGTCTGAAACCCAAAAAATCCTAAACGGCTTCTCTTTCCCCCCACAGCATCTCCCACAACCACTTTTCAGTTACTTGTAGCAGAAACATCTAGGATAACCCAAACCTATAACCCTTGTGCAGTTTACAGAGCACAACTAATAATCTTAAATAAAGTAAGGTATTAGATGCCTGTGTGCATCACTGCTGAGCATGTGCAACAAATAAAGAGTAAAAATAACCTAAGCCAAAGTGAGGAATGGATTCAAGCTATGAAGCCGGACTGATGGACAATGAAGTGACAAGTGTACATCTAATTCAGAACACTGTCATGAAGCTGCAGAATCTTCTTTGCTTGTTGGGTGGAGTGGAATAATTGTGCCTGACTTAACTCTCATCGCTCAGTTATATGCTAGGAGTCTGCCTGATAATAATTCTGTGAAAGCATGATTTATAAAGAGAAAGAACCTTTGCAAGTACTGCACAATTGCATGGGACAAAATGGTAATTCAGGGTATGAAGTTCCCTGATGTCTTAAAAATTTACTTTTACAGGACTAAAAGCTTTATTGGGTCTATATGTGGGTCTTTGACCACACCTAGGGAGCTGCTGTTAAAGTAGGAGAACAAACCTAAGCTGTCGTTGTGTCTTGTGCTCCCTTGAGGGCTGAGTCCCATGACTCAGTGGGGATATAAAGAAGACCTGAATTCAATTTTCAGGTCTTCTACACTTAATGGTACTCAATTGATAGCTTTGACTAGAACCTATCTGTTTGCACTGTGGGATGCAAATAATTAAATCCCACCCAAAAAGCTGCATGTGCATATATTATATATATAGGAGAGGGGTAAATTTCTCAACCGCATGGAAAGAGATGACAGTTATCCCACATGCGAAGTAAAGGATGTCAAAGGAATCCTGGAGTATTTGAACACAACAGAAGTTGAGGACATATCTGAGCCTTCATACATGGTCTGGGAGTAGCAAGGCTCAATACTACGAGAAGGGTTTTGCCAGATGAACGTTCATTGGAAATGAGGTTATTCTAGTTCATATCCAGAGGTCAACACATTCATACCACTTGCCTCAGACTGCGTGTTTATGGAGCGCTGTACAGAGGCTGATGAGCAACTGAGGCCAAGAGAAGGGGCTGATATATGATACTGGAGACAGGGAGGGTGGAGAGAAGGATAAACCAGCACAGCAGATCAGTAACGTCTACAGTGGTTTTAGGTTTCGGGAATTTCGAGGGACAGTTGTTCTTGGTACATATCATATCAGGAAAAAAGTCGTTTAGACTCCAGTTACTTACAGAACTTCAATTTATCCACTGAAATTAAAAGGGTGTATTCAGAATGATTATCTTATTTGAACATTGCAACTGTTTCAGGCCTACTTCCTCAGCATCTACTGAGCTAACACAAATTACTTGAAATATGAGATCTGCGTTTCAGCAGCAGATTTTGTACAGAGTCAACGTATTGCTGAAATATCATGCAAAGATGAATTCCTTTCTTTTCACTCCAGCGTGGGGCCAAGACTCAGCATTTTGAGAACTCTTAACCATGTCCCTGAATTTGAAAATCACTATAAAGAAAGATTGAGGCAAAATTCAAATGTATCCCTAGTAACTCTTACATGACAACTATTACTATGTGGATTAATTGTTCCAAAGTAAGCCAGGAAAAGAATTCATGGAGCTAGAGAAACTTCTCAGTTTTGATAAATGTATTTTTAATGTTCTACATATAGAAACAAAACCAATGCAAAAAAGGTGAAGATAAAACACATTCTGTATTAGGCTGTATTGTTAGGCATAGTCCAAGGCTGAAATACTTATAAGCTAACCAGTATTTAGTTTTTGTTTATTTTATTAGGTTTCACAGCACCTACTCTCAAAAGATGACAGTGCAAATAGGCACTGCAATCACAGAGATTAAGAAATATGCCAATTACTCTAATATGAAATTTCACCAAAATGAAAGAAGGTAATTAAGTGTGCCAGATTCTTTGCTGTACCCAGCAGCTGTAAAACTATCCACAGAACAGAAATTCTAGTGGCGTTTCCCAGGTACAAGTAGGCAGTACAGGTGCTACATGATAAAGAATTTATCTCTTCCATTTCCTCTCTACTGAATATCCAAAGTTTGTACTTATTTATGTGTATATTATACGTATACTCTTGCAGGAACAGTGGTTGGAGGACAGAGTTCTTTTGTTCTTTCAAGGGTTATTTTACCTTGGAGAAATAGGGCTTTGACATCTTCAGCTAGATCTCAGCTAAGTAAAAAACTACCACCTTTCAGCTGTGTAGCTTTCCCTTTGCAGACCATTATCTCATTGGTACCTGAGTTTCTGACACCCCAGTTCATATCCTGACAAACATGCTTGGACTGGTGGTACAAAATAAAGATACAGGACTGGATCAGTTGAGATGGACATCTATTGTTTGTTGATACCATCATTACAGCAACAGTAGAATCCTAGGCAGAGAAACATCTAGAGATGATAAAATTGTAACCAGCTCCACGTAAACTTAGCAGGAGACATAGCTGTCAGATCCCAGGATTAACAAAAGTCATAAGAACAGTAACAAAGCTTCACTAGTACTCTCTGCCACTTACTTTCCTAATACAAAAAAAAGCTCCGCTTTCTGCTTAGGGTTATAGTTAGACGTTACTGTGCTGAGGGCTCCATAACTGTATAATCCTCACCTTGTCCTCTTCTGTGGCAAGTGTCACCAAAAATTTGCACTGCTTATCAGCAGGCCACCCCATGAACTCTCCCCATATCATTTTGCCCTAAGCCATCTCCCGTTTGACTTGTAATCATAGAAAACACGATTAAGAAATTTCATCACTGCAGATACTGAAACTCATTGTTGATTCTCATACCAACAGGAGCAACTGAAAGGGACGCTTACCTAAGCTGTTTCCTCCACAACCCTGCAAGATCCGTCTGGCTCGCTCTTTAGCATCTTCTGGAAAACTTGGGCTGTCCAGCAGGTTTGGGTATGTACACAGTGCCACTACCTAGAGTGCCAAGAAAATGTAAATTGGCCACTTCTCAATAGTTATTTTAAGTTGGTAATATTACTGTTAACTTTCCTTGGAAATGAAGATGACAAATACTAGCTAATGTAAAACGAAAAGTTTACAGATGTTTTTTTAAGGGTAGTGCTTACAGAAGTGAAGAAATCTCATCGGGTTCCAAGTTCTCCTGATAAAAACAGTTATAGAATTATTAACTATTTGTATTACTGACAGTGAAGATTGGAGTCCAAGTGAGGTATGCATTGTGCAAACACAGTAAAACACAGTTAATTATTCCTATGTTATCTCTAAACAGCTCTATCCTCCACTCTTTGTGTATTACTAGACCACTTTATTGACAAGAAATCAAGAATTTAAATATGGAGCAGAACAAAGAAATATGATCAAATTTTGAAGTCCCAGTTGCATGTTCTAATAATCCTTCCCAAAAATAACTTATAGTTATTACTAATTTGAATTTGTGCAACATATTTAATTAAAAGAGAAGTGGTGATATAGAACATAGTAGAAGTAGAAACATGACCTAGCAGAATTAAGTTTATGAAGGAATGTAAAACATAAAGAATCTAGAGGTCTTGGTTGAGATCAGCTTAATTTGTTGCAGTCTCTCTCTCATTTTCATGCTTATATGGTGTAACGTGGATAGGCTGTTCTCATCTTGTGGGACAATGACTAAAGAATTAACGTGCACACACGGTCATGATAAGAAAGGATTTCCCATTTACCCAGTGTTTTCTTTAGTAACATTGGATCTGAATAATTTGTAAGAAGTTCTGGTCTTCCTAGTTTGCTGACAGTTTCCTGTATAGCTCAGTTTTATAATCTCATCACCTGGACCTCTAGTTTGATACAGCTTCAGTTTGTCCTGGAACTCTCTGAATTTACGTTATTATAGACTGAGGATTTTACATGTGTGTGTAAGGGATGCTTAGTAAATAGCATAATACTAGTTTTAACCTTGCTTGTGTTTTAGGAATAATATAAAAACATGGATTCTGTTGTAGTCTTTCCTAAAAGTTAACCCACCGATTAGTTTACCCAGAGGTAAAATGTGCAAAATCAGCAACAGTACAACTAGTTGCACCCAACTGTGTGCAGATCTTGAAGTATACTGTCAGATGAAGAAAGGCATTTGCTTTTTTCTTTGAAGACAACCGCTTTCTTCTTTGAAGTGCATTATTGATAATGAATGTGCTGACGGATAAATAGGAGAAGTGGCAGGAGAAAGTATGGATGGGGAATGATCTGAAAAGTAAGGAAAGGTACTGTCTTGAAAGAGGACACTCAGCAAGCAAGGTATTGGACTTCGTCTCAGAAATCAAAATTTGTAATTCTTTCTGAAAGAACTATTTTAAGTCTAAGTGTATCTAGGGAATCATTTATACTAATACACGTATCAGATTTTAAGGCACTCTTGGTAATCCAATAAAAAATCAAGAATAATATTTTTAAATATTCTTACCTGACGGAGGAAGGTGATTGGCCTCTGTCCCATTGCATGTGCATCTCCAATGTTGGCTTTAATTACTTCAGTAAAAGGTTTTTTGATTCCCTAAAAAGAGATGATTCACAATGTATTGTTAAGGCTGAAGTAGATAATAAAGAATTTCTCTTTTTTGGTATCTGTCATATGGCTGTAACTAAACAGTGCCTAATCTCAGAACAGATTGAGTGTTTAATGTAAAGCTTAATGCATTTCTGATACAATACTGCCAGTAAATCTTAAACGCTTTACAGAAATTATGCTGACTGTGACACATTTTTAAATTATATGCTGGCTTTTTTTTTCTGCTAGCTACAAGTAAGAGATTGACTTGCCTGGAAACAACACATTGAAGTAGAAAAATGAAAAAGAGGCATTTTGAATTGTCAGTATCAGAGCAACTTGTTTGATATACCTAAGGGAGGGATGGATCAGTCAAGAAGCTAAAAAGATTTGAGGACATTTGAGAAATCCACCAATAAAAGAAACCTCAAGACCTTTAGTACTTTTTAGAGTAAAAAGAGTAAAGATACTGCTTGCTTATATGTTTTCTATTTAGACTAAATATTCAGTATGCGATGACCACACTTTTCCATATACAGATGTTTTACAAAGTATATCATAGTAAGGCTCTATATGATAAACAGCAGAAGTGCTAAATAATCACCATGAATATTTAAAAGCTTCCTAATCTCTAAAATCTGAACAGACAGCCATTTTTCCTGTCAGGAACTGAATACATCATGAAAGCAGAGGGAACACAGTTGATGAATGTTGATTAGCAATCACAGCTCTTTAAAAAGAATAATAAAATGTGAAAAAAGGCAAGGAACTGACTGGTAGGAAAAAACACCATTGATTTAAATAAAAAAGATTAACTGAAAGTAAAGGCCAACATTACAAGAAGAATAAATGAGGTAAGCAAGAACAAAATTATAGCTTTTCTAATGTATATTTAAGTATGAGAGATAGTAGGGAGACATTCTAACAGAGACAGAAGTTTCATGTGGACTAATAAACTGCAAACTTAGACCTATTAATCTTCTGGACAAAATTACATATAACAACCTGCTCTGGCTGCGGACTGAACTCACAAAGCCTCTTCTTGCCCCATGTATTTAGAGCAAGTTATTGGCTCTAGATACAGAATATGTGGCTGGCAAGCCTTGACTAATTTTTGCTTTTCTACTACGGAGTATGCACTGGACTTCAGTGACAGACCGGAACACAAATGTGCAAAGATAACAATGACCAAAGTATTAGTAGGAATACAAATTCCCAGGTATGCCAAGATTTGGAGGTTTACAGCTGTGTAATGTGGCTGAGAGGTTATGTGAAAATGTGATTCAAATCCCCACTGCAGATCCAGTCCATCATATAACTGATAGCATCTAGGTTTTTCTTTTGAAATTAAATAGGTAGTTAGAAATGGGAATAAAACAAGACAATTGGACTTACGTGATCCTGACTCAAAAGGGTCAATTTTATATGGCCTTAAATTTAGCAGGAATTTAAAAAAATGTTCACTTAAAATAATTGAAAGTGACACACTGGCTCCATCAAGTCATTTGCTTTTATGTTTGCTGATCTAAGTGAGTGCCTAAATAAGAGCTGTATTTCAACCTTAAATAAAGAATTAGAAATGGGGATGCCAGATAAGGATTACAGGTATCTGAGACTTAAGTTTAGAAATTTATGAGAAATGCAAACAGCTAGAAATAGGTTCTCTTCAAACTATCTGGGGTTCACTAATTGCACAACATTGTTTCATTCTAATTTATAAATACACGGGAAAAGAAAGATAATATGTAGGAGGAAAACAAGTTCAGTTTTCGTGAAATTAAGAAACATTCCCACAGATTTTGGTTGCATTTGGTCCTTCTTACAGCAAACTGAATCAATCTCACTAGATTCACACAGTAATACGAATTTGTTAAAGAATAAGGGGTGCCTTAAGTTAGGCAGTCTAAGAAAACATAGCAGTTCTCAGCAATAAAATGGAACAGAAATACCTTGTCTTACCAGATTAAAACCAGAATGAACAAAACCCCTAACAACATAAATATATTATGTGAGACAAATGAGATGGGTTTTTTGCACACAAATACTATTGAGAGATGCAATAAAAAATAGTTGCTTCTTTGATTACGGAAATGCTGAAAGATACCCTGCATTTCATAATGTACCTTTGGAGTTTTTATAGTGGTAGAACCTTTACAACAAAAGTAACAGACCTTTTTGGTGTCTGTGTCAGGTTTATTGTAAATAATGTAGTAGCTTATTAGCATTGATACCATGCAGATTTCTGCCAGTGCCAAACTCAGTGTTTATGCCATCACTGCCTTTGGGCATCAACTGCAAGTACATAATCATCACTTACTCCATAAACTCCACACTACCTTTGCTACTAAAATGGTTCATCTGGAGAAAATAGCAAAACATACATAACAGTTATCTTACTGTAAAATCATGGAAGAGAAGGAACAATTAGGCTTTGTGTGTTGTACACACTGTTCTCACATACCTCTTGACTAACTTGTATTTCTGGGTCTCAGCTACAAGAGCTGTTGCCCTTTTTTGTCTTTTCAAAGAGAGATGATTTTAAATAACTGGGGCCTTTACCTTCCCTGGCACTGAGTTAATGTCAGCAATTGTTTAGGACTGTCTTAATGAGATTCACTATATCCCCTCCTAGTGAAATCTAGAAAAAAAAAAGTGATGACTAATTTTTTTTTTTTCTCATCTTTCTCTGTTACTTGATTTTGAGTCTTTCTATGGAAAGAAGGAATATCAGAAGTTGTTCAGATTTAGTTTTGATTCCTCCAGAACAAAAAGTCCCATCTTACCACTTCAGAAAGAAGGAACAGGAAACAGTAACGAGCAAGAACAAGTGTCAAATACTAATGAGTCAAACTTTCAAAATAAGAATATCAGAAGCTGGCATCAAGGCAAGTCTAGACAGTGGCAATGACTCTGCAGATGAGTTCTAGATGGAATTCTACTTAAATCCTCTAAGACAGAGCAGTGTTAGTCACTGCTTACTTGTGTCAAGCAAGGTTTCTCCTATGGTGATGGCACTGCTGTGCATGGGTATCCAAGGGAAAATTAACATCAAATACTTTTTGGAAGGTCTATGAAAACATCTGTATGAAAGGAGGAAGCGTGAATGTGATGTGGATAACATCAGGTTGTAGAACAGCAGGAAAAGTGCTGCAACAGGACATAGCTTGTTAGGGCAAGATTTATGTCAGTGCAGAAAGCTAAGCAGTCTTTGACCATGTCAGCAACATGCCTGTGCTGAGACAATTTAAGTCTCTGGCAAGCCAAGGAACATCCAGTGAGAGTAGAAACTAGGCCATTGGAATTGTTTTGCTTTCTTCTAGTGATAGAGAGCTGCCCTCCCCGACAATATTCTCTCTCTCTCATACTCTTTCTCTCTGATATTCTTTCTCCCTCCCTCTCATATTCTCGCTCTCATATTCACTCTCACATTCACTCTCATATTCCCTCTCTCTCTCTCAGACTGAGCCAGCTTTCATGGAGTGTTCTAGACGCAGTCTGACTGGGTTGTAACTGGCCTCTGCCAGTTTTCACTTTGGAAAAGTGAAGCTTGCAGAATAGGAGCTTTAATAACAAACTCAGGAGCAGCAAGTACCAGATTGATCCTCATGTCTACTGAGGAGGGTATGAACCATATCAAAGAGGAAAACCAATCCCTAGCCCTACAAAACAGCCACTGCTACAGCTTTCTGCCTTTGGTGGCACCTCATACTGTCCTAACAACATGATTCATCTTCATTTTGGGAACAAAGCCAATCTTCTGCCATTCTTCTGACATTGTTAGCAAAGGGACTAATTGTAGTAGCCATTTTTAAAGCCGAAGAAGCCACCTTGCACTTTCAAATTCAGATGTAAAGCAGAAAATATAAAAATGTGGCCTTTTTTTTCAGTTGCTGTCTTCTTGATAATGAAAGGATTTTAATGGAATAAAGGAATCTTCCCAGATTTGGAATAAGCTCTTTGGAAATGAGTTCCTTCAGCAGTTACTTCTATCACTCTTCTTGTCCCAGGGGAAATGCAGTCTTTTAAGAGACCAGATGAAAAGCCTCTGAAATCTGAAGCAGGTCAGACAGGGTTATTCTAATAACAACATCAGTGTTCTAAGTATCACAAAAATTTGGGAAAAGTGATTTTCATATGTGAACCATACACATCCCCAGGCCTCGAGAAACCCAGCGGGTAGGGAGTACAGTATGAAATGATGAGCTGTCTCTCAAGGAGAGAGTCACCATGCAAGATGTGTTGGGAGAACTATCTGATCAAAGAAATGATATGATGCTTGAACATACACTATCCCGAAGAACTAACATGAAGGCAATGCACGGCCAGGAGCTGGTTTGTCTTTTAAGAGTTTTAGTATGCCTGGAGGTTCCCTTTACGACGGTGCCATCTAAGAATGCTGGCAAATTGCAAAATAACACTGTGCTCAGAAAGAATAAAGAAGGGTGCAAACTGACCTAAAGCCGTCTTTGCTAATGCCTTCAGCAAATTTCAAAGGAAAACCCTCAGTCCATAGAGAGGTTTGTGTGATTTGGATTTGGTAATTGTGATAGGAAAGAATTGAAAAGAATTCCCTTGACAAGGCCATGAAAACATGAGGTACTTTTAATCCCAGAAGAGCAACATGGTATTTCTACTATTTCTGAATTTAAAAAGTTGTCCACTCTTGGCTGCTCCTCATTGTTTCATTTTCATTGCCATTGCTTTGTGCCTCCTCTTGATGGTTATCAGGCAATAACATCACACCATGAAACACTGTGCTATTTCCTTAGCACAAACCAAGTCTGTTCTGCTGTGACTTGCACAAACAAGCTGTATAATAAGAGCTGGCAAACCCAGACATTTCAGCGTAGCTGAGATCTACGCTGTAGTAGCCAAGTTTCTTACTTGCTCCCCCTCACCCCCCTCTCTTAAAGGGCCAAGAAAGCACTACCCAGAGGCCCTTAACTAATAGGGACCTGAAGGCCTGAATTAGCATTCCAATCTTTTTATTAAAACAGTTC